AGAACTTAATTCCATGATTTTTGTGTTCTTGCTTTCTAAATCACTAGCGTACATGATCTTTCCGTTGAGTGTCTCCTGACATTGTGCACCTTGTCCTTCTTCTTTGCTTTAACTCTCGGGGCAGCATACAATTCAGAATTCCTTCTAGAAAGATCACCATTGTTTGGATAATTCCTCTCTCTGGTAAATTTTTTCATTGGACAGTCGGTATTCTTTTGGAATAAACCACTTGTACTTAGCAGCATCCAGAGGGGTTAAAGTACACACCGGACTAACCAGAGTGAGCAGCATTCGGTTTCTTCTATTTAAAATCAAACGTGTTTTTATAATTCAATAATCATTCACTTTACGGATTTGTTTATTTTATACATTTTTATTCAAAATGCATATGCCAACAAAAAATATTTTAGAAAAAAGGCTAAAAAATTATGTTTAATGGGTCAAATTGTGATCGAAAGTCATAGCTTTCTGGAACATGGACAGAACCGTTAAATCCACGTGAGCAGAGTAGCTGAACTTAATAACCTTTGCTCGAATGGGTCTTGATAGAAAACGATAGGATAATTTGTGGTGGACCTGTTTACGTCTTGAACCAGCTGGAGATGAACGGGATGGAATGAAATGCCCATGTTCAATAACTTTATTATACTCTGATACTTGGCTTAGTTCTCTTTCAGCTTGGCTAAGCTGGTTGGATTGCTTGAGTATAGAGTATACATGTATTTCAGGAATGCTTCATCTTTGTATTACTTTGGTACGTGTAACCCCTTGATACGGATAATGAAGTTCCTCTGATGTTGATTTTTTATCGTTCTGGGTTCAGTGTTTCAAGAGCTTGACGTTCGATCCAGGAGTGATTTAATGTCATCCTTGTTTTCTTTAACAGAAGCATCTGGATCTTCAATGGATTTTTGAATCTGACGAATTTCTCCCAAGATATGGTTTTTAAACTCCATCATGGCGTCTTTGATTTCTTCTTTAATGGTAATCCTGAGTTCATCTTTGAGTTTACTCAAATCAGCTTTTGTGAAAGTTCGTAGATTCCTTCACTGATAGATATAAAGTAGATTCCCCCACTTTATACAGCTGTTTTATGTTACGTCCGTAGGGAGTAGAGGGGGGGGGGGGCAAACCTACCCTGCCGAAAACTATAACTCAAAAACATGTATTCGCAAATTTATCATTCACAAAATTACACGTAGTTAGCTTGATTTTTGGAATCTTTCTGTCTTTAATGTTGTTGAAAATGTTAAAAGATTATGTTTTCTCATTTTCCTCACCAAACACTAATTAGGTCATTTAGAAACCCATTTCACGTGTTAGAGAGAGGTTATCTATATTAATTATCCTAATGCACATTCTGCACTATACATCAAACAATTAATATTTACTCGAGAAATTATTTATGTGTTTTTCAAATCAAAATACATTATTAAACATTGGAAAATGTCATAAAATTGATTTTTATGTCTAACATTGTGTTGAAATGGTAAAAACTTTAGGGGGAGTCCGCCCATAGATAAATAAATAAACATCGATAGCTTATATACTCAAAATCATTCTTATCTCCTGAAATTAAGTGAAAGCACGAAAATGGCAGACCACATTTGGGAAATGGCAGGAATAGGGCCTATTCTTAATCTTGGATTATTGTTTCATAAAAAGTATTGCTAAAATCAGGTTACTAGTTCGGCTGGGTGACTCATATTTTTCGCACATTTGATAACTCTATAGAGTTATACAGGGTGTCCCAAGTAAACATGGAAATTGAGAGACGACTTGATTTCCGATAATTTACAAATGATATTAAGTGCATTAAAGTCTAAAGTGCTAAGATCTCCGTCATTTTTAAAGGTAAAAAAATGATTTAGCCCATTTTGGAAATCCCAAGACTGGTAGTTTTTGTGGTTAAATGTTTAAACTGTGATACTACAACATTAGGTTTACGAAATAATCCATGGAACAAAGTAGAAGTTGTAATTTAATTCCCATGTTTATCTGGACACCTGTATATTAAGGTTATTTTGTATTTAAGGAGCATATAGATTAGGGGGCCCTCAAATATACGCATTTGACTAGGGTCAGGAATTTGTTCAGGGAATTGGGAGGTNTCCCCTTTTTGTATACACCCCCTGAAAACCATGACGCAGTTACAAATTTTAAAATCATCAACATTTCTAGGCTTTCCTCTTTACATTTATACCCCTTCGATATGATTTACATTATCTAGGTTTCTTATTAAAATTAGTAATATTTCCTAAACTTCCTGGAAGTTATAGTATATTATGTGCCGGTTGTTTAATTTCATCCAACTAAAGATTCTGGCTTGGCCACAAAAAAATTTCACCTGTAAAAATATATTCTAAGTGGTTTGTATCCAATTTGAAAGGCAAGGAGCAAAAAAGGATATCCATGAAAATGGCTAGACTGACAAAATTGAATGTAATGACTAATAGAAAAGTTATAAATAGGCAATACACTTTGCATTAATGCTACAGTGGTCGGTGTTTGTATCAGTACAATGAAGACGACTCAATTTTTTTTTATTCCTAACAAGCTCTTTTCAAATTTCAAGTTTACATGTGAACATGTTAATTGACAGCTTCAATTTGTTTTCATGTTTATGGGCATCCATGCTGCATTTGAAAAATTGCATAAGCCGTCTTCATTGAATCAATTTATATACGAAGAGGAACGTTTAAAATCAAATTTTTTTTTTAATTTTTACAAATGAAATCATTTCTGCACTTTCATTAATCTTTTTTAGAATTTTGCTCGAAAAATACGCTTTTTATTCAAAAAACAGAATTCACTCGAGAATCTTTCTTTCTCGGACCTGAAACCGCCATAACCATCTAAAGCTCAACAAATTAGTCTTAAACCCATTTTGAACACAAAAAAAAAATTTCTAGAGTAACCATATTTAGGACAAATTTCATGTATATGTGGAGTTTTTTGAGTCGATCTAATTGCTTCAGGCCTTAAAAAATGGTCAAAAAGTATTTTTAACTTTTAAGATTTCTAAAGCAAAATAACCAAACTTTTGAAGTCTCTGGAGCCCATCAGTTAATGGTCAAAAAGGAATTTCTACCTCAAAAATGGATGTCTGTAGCCAATAAGCCATATTTAACACATTCACAATGCGCATCGTTTTTTGAATGAATGAAAATTTTTGAGAACGAAAAAATTTGTCGTGAAAATGTCTTAACCTAACCTGACCCCACATTTACCAGCTATCACTACATTCTTCTCGTTTAAACCATTTATATGTTTTTCATTATTTTCTTTGAATGATTTTTTTGTTTATTTGAAATACTTTTTTGTTCATTTGAACTATTAGTGTTCAACTGAAATTTTCCGTTTGACCTTTTTTATTTTTGTTCATTTGAACTATATAACTGGAATTCAGTTTAACTATTTTTTATGAACTATTTTATTGCTTATTTGAACTATTTTTTTGCCTGTTGAACATATGTTTTTTGGTGCATTCGAACTATTTTTTGGTTCATTTGAACTTTCTTTGGTGCATTTGAACTTTTTTTGGTGCACTTGAACTATTTTGTTGCTCATTTTGTTTTGCTCATTTGAACTATTTTTTGGTTCATTTGAACAATTTTTTTTCGCTCATTTGAACTTTTTTTTATACCCATTTGAACTATTTTTTTTGCTCATTTGAACAATTTTTGGTACTGCACATTTGAATTATATTTTGGTTCATTTGAACTATTTTCTTTTTGCTCATTGAACTATTTTTTTTGCACATTTGAATATATTTTTCCTCATTTGAATTATTTTTTTCTCCTGTGAACCATTTTTTTTGCTCGACGTTAGTCGTTTGAACTATCTTTTTGCTAATTTGATCTATTTTTTTTGTTCATTTCAACTATTTTTCCTTCATTTGAAATAAATTTCATGCAACTATTTTTCGTTTATTTGAACTATTATTTTGTTCATTTGAACTTTTTTTGATGTCAATTTTTTGATCATATAAACTAATTTGTGATGAATGTTTTACCTTTTTATTCAAAATATAAAAATTTTAAACTGCTAGTTAAATTAAATTTAATAATACGTGTTGAATTAATTATACAGGAAACAGAAGCGTATTTAGGATTTAGGCCAGGGGGGGGGCTAGCCCCTCAGCTTGGTCATTTTAGCTGCCCATGGTCCAATAGCTAGCCATAATGGGAATGCCGGGTGGGGCTGTGCTAATTGGCCGCTCCCAATTGGGGGATGAAACTTCCCTGAAAATCAAAGCCTCCATTTTTCCTGGGGGGCTGAGCCCCCATGCCCCCCTGAATACGCCTCTTGCAGGAAATGACGTCGCATTATCAATAGTTAGAACGAACAATTAATAGTTCAATCGAAAAGTTCAAATGAGCAATAGTTCAAACGGCAGCATATTTCAATGCGAATCCACCGAATCCACCTTAATCTATAAGGCTGAAAAATTCCTAAGATCCGAAAACTATGCACTTATGTAGGTTCCTTAGGTCGGATGAGCTCGATGAGCGGATTTCCGACGAAGACGACATATGAAGTGGAAAAATCACGAAACATCGTCAACAATTTTAGACGAAACGGTTATAGTTTTTTTTTGTCAAAACTGAATACTAATTACCTATTTGTAACACGTCTCAACATAAAACTCTGTATCTAAAATCTTGACTAAGAGCAGGTAATTTGTAGGTTTTAACAATTATTAATAATTTTATACATAAAATCCTAATTTTCCCGGCAAATTTATAGAATATTGCAATTGCTCAGTTTAATGGTTTGAAAATATAATAAAACTGAAAGCTCATTTTTTGTTGTAAATTCATGAAAAATAATAATTATTCCGTAATAGAGAATAACCAACGTTTTCTCTGTCTCTAAAAATATGATTTTTACCCCTTGCTAGAGAGGGGGTCTCAGCCGCCATGTTATAAGGGCCGGCCTGGGTAGGAGGAAGAGCGCGCCGCGTCAACTCCGAGCCCTCAATTCGAGGGTCCGCACCCGTGACGTCAGTGTTCCGCCGTTCATTGCGAGAAGAAGAGAGAAACGTGGAAATTAAATAGTTTTAAGTTAAATATGGTTTCCTGATATATTTATGTATAGTTTAAAGTGAAAATCACTATTCCCGATGGTTTGGTTTGAGCAATATGGTCCGGGAATCTAGACATCTATGGGTGGGGAATTTACCAGAAAATGTTGGTAAAGATCGAGTCCAGGATTATTTTAACAGGTATAATTAGAGTTTCACGTATAGTATCATTTATTTGGTTTGGCAGTTGATCATTATAGAACCATGCATTTTAGTCACTTCTGACTCCACTTTTCATAATTTATTTTTAACCCTTTTTTTAATTTTAGGTAATTGAATAGAGATGTTACTGGGTTATACTGGATGTGAACCACTCAGCAGCTTTTTAGAGACCCAAGAAATCTAATTTTTCTACCTTTTTTACACATCTTATCATTGCATTATTTATTTTTCATTTATTCTATTTTATATCTCCTATTTATCCCTATGCTTTCATTCTTTATTTTTCGTCTATTTTATCATGTTATTTTATAATGCTCATTCTTGGTGTTTCAATCTCTACTCTCGCAGTCTCATTCTACAGGGTTTCTATTCTATTCTCCATCTCTGCTCTTTTATCATTCCATTCTCTATCTCTACTCTTTATCTTTCCAAATTCTCTATCTCTGCTCTTTTATCAATTCATTCTCCATCTCTGCTCTTTTATTCTCAATATTTGCTCTTTTATCCTTTTATTCTCCATCTCCCTCTTTTATCCTTCCATTCTCCATCTCTCCTCTTTTAACCTTCCATTCTGTATCTCTACTCTTTTATCCTTCCATTCTCTATATCTACATTTTTTCCTTCCATTCTCCAGCTCTGCTCTTTTATCCTTTCATTCTCTATTTGCTCTTTTATCCTTTCATTCTCTATCTCTACTCTTTTATTCATCCAGTTTCCATCTCTCCTCTTTAACCTTCCATTCTTCATCTCTGCGCTTTTATCATTCCATTCTCCTTCTCTTCTCTTTTATCCATCCATCTCCATCTCTCCTCCATTTATCTCTCTTCTTCGACCTTCCATTCTCCATCTCGCTTCTTCAACCTTCCATTCTCCAGCTCTCCTCTTCAACCTTCCATTCTCCATGTCTCCTCTTTAAACTTACTTTCTTCAGCTCTCCTCTTCAACCTTCTATTCTCCTTCTCTCCTCTTTAACCTTCCTTACTCCAGATCTCTGCAACCTTTCATTTTCCATGTTTCCTTTATTATCCTTCCATTCTCCACCTTCCTCTCTCCCTTCCAGTCTTCATCAACTTCTTCTACCCTTCCATTTTTCAGCTCATAACTGACAGACTTAAAAAAATTTAGTTTTCTTGTACTATTCTTTACTTCTGTCAGACTTTTGATTACTAGCTCTGCTCTATAAGCCTGGGTTTCTTATCCCTCTAGCTCACTATTGTTAGTTGTATGATTTCTAGCTTCCTCCAGGTATATTCTCTTCGTAACTCCTGGTTCTAATGGATCTGGACAGGAAACCTGGAATAAACTACTGATTTGGCTTTCACGCCATATGGTCTCAAGTTATTAGAAATATTAATGTCGTCAACCCCAATCCCTACTCAATATATCCAAGTTTTGAAGTAATCGTTATATATTCGGTTTACGAGCATAGAGCAACCATACTTATTACAGTTCTCCGATCCCTAAAACCTATTTTTCATCCATAATACCTACACACTTCGTCATGCTTCATTGTTTATTTTTATCCGATATATGCAATTAATTCCTTCATGTCCAAATAGCTTTTTAAAACTCAATCTTAGTCCCCAACTGAAATTCTGTACTGTATGTCGGTTTTATTATTACTCTGTCCAAAACAGATAAAAAATATTTTTCAGTGAACTTCTAAGCCTTCATGCCATAATCAATCCCATGCTTATACCTCTGAAACTTCTTCACATCGAATTAAAAATAAATGTTCTGTGCAGTTCTCAATTCCATTCTTTTAAACCTTTAAATTTCTTGAATCATCAGTCTTCACTCTTCATGTTAGAATTCATTGAATAATATTATTAAGTTATCTTTCCTTGTGTAAAGTCGACACCTCAAAAAAAAAAACTAAAAAATATGTTTCCGAAATATGTAAAAATTTGATGTCTTCCGAAAAAGTGCAATTTTGATCGGACTGAGTTTAACCTAAAAAGAAAAATTTGGATTTAAGGTTACTGAACTCCATTTACCCAGAGAAAGGGCCGAATGTCACATGTTTTTCTTGATCCCTGTAAATGCCCAAAACTTGGGGACTGCACAAACAATTTTTAGGACTGAACTCAAATTTATTGCAAACTAAATTTTGGAAAACCTATAATTAGAGATTTGGTGAAATTCATTTTTAAGATTTAGTATATTTTCCAACTCATGCAAACACTTTTTTTTGATGCACCCAAAGGTTTATTACTAGTGTAAGTCCATCGTCAGTTTTCAATTGGTCCAATGTTCTAATCCGTTCTGTGTAATTTATCTTTAGTTCCTCTCTTACTCTCAGTTCTTTCATTTATTTGCTTATTCAACAGTTCATTAATCCGTATAATATATTCATTCTTACTTAAGGTTCCTAGCACTTATGCATTGTGATCCTTCCAATCTAAATTTCCGCATAAAAACCTCTTTCAGTTCCTAAATTATTCTCCTTCAACTAATTCTAATTTAAGGCTCTGTATTCTGAATTCTAGTATTTTTAACAAATGCATAGATTTAACTATAATTATTGAATATAGTTCAGAAAACTACAAGTTTCTTTCTATAAATAGTAATTGTTCAAACCGATTGAATCATGTTATGAAAGAACTTTTTTATGTCTCACTTTTTTCTTGAAAGTGCGATTTGGTATGATAATTGATTATTTTTGGACGCAAAGTGCTTGAATTCATTTAAAGAGCGATCGTAAAGCAAAATATTTATATAAAATCGTTCCATCGTTGATATATATTTTGAGTATGACAACCATAGTCTGAATTTAATGAATTTGAGCCGCGTCTCAAATCCGCTCAAAACAGGTTTCAATTAAGCGTCTGCCCAAATCTTCAAAAATTGAATTATAAGTGAGAACAACTATATTTCAGCCGCGTCTCAAATTTAAGCCGCGGCGGCTAAAAATCTTTAAATTCGGCCTCTGATAAGCTAATGTAATATCCTTCTTAATTTAGCATGGAATTTAAACTTACTACAACTTTTAAATGTAGAAAACACTAAAAAGCTTGATAAATCAAATTCGAATCCAATTCTCAACCTTATCATTGGATTATAAACGAACCTTGAGCTCTGGATTTAAGAAAGCTTGGCAAACCAGTTTTAATATTAGGGACAGGGTTCCGGAGAAGAGGGGTAGATGAGAAGGGGTTGAGGGGGAGGGTAGATGAGAAAGGGGCTGA